GTCTGTTTGACCAGAAGTTAGAGCTGAGTCATCAGATCGGAAGTTGTGCCCTCACTACTCGCCAGAGCTTTTGCCTTAGCCGAGTATTTCACAGTGAAATTAAAGCTCTGCTCTCTACTTCTGCCCCTTCAAGTGTCTGTCTGATCCAATGACTCCCTTTCAAAGTCCATACCATATTCTTCTTTTCCCAGCACAGAGAGCCAGGAAAATCCAAATGAAGAGTCCTCGAGGAACTACCGTGGGAACATACAGCTGTTGGGGGAGCCCGGCCAATCTGCTCTGTTCTCAGCATGTTGCATTCAGACACGCCACACGCTGCTGTGTTCATTGATGATGATATTAAATGCCTCGTCCCTAGGGAAGGAGGGATCTGCTCAGTCACCACGAGCTCTTTCATTATTTATATACAGTTAAAGGGCATGGCTCCAATGAACGCAAGCATCTGAGAAAAGTCATTATTCATGTAGAGATCAAGTTGAACATTTGTCATTTCTCCAGTGACTTAACATACTCTTTGTGCCTTGGGATCTCAAATGATAATAAGCAGTATAGATGCTTTAGCTCTTTTTAGTTTAATTGTTGGCCTTCATACACTTGTTCAGATTGCTTGGACTTGTTTAAAATGAGCCCTTGTTTCCCCTTAATATGTAAAATAGAAAAGGAAGAAAATTTCTTTTTAGAACCTATTACATTCTAAGGATGAATGCAAATTGTTCTCCTATGATTCTTAATGACCCACTATTAACATAGTAGGAAACCCAGCACATTAATGCAGTACCTCTTTTCACATCATTACTCCTAATGGAACTGTTACCAGGATAATAGCTTGACCTTTAGCTATAGAATCAGATAGCAAAAATATATTCTGCTTACTCGATACCTCTGTTCACAGAGCCTATTGAGCGTTTTCAGGTCAATACAGTCACAATATTTTGGCCTAAGGCCTCATCTGCGCTTGCAACACAATAGGATTTCATCTTCAGTAGGTAGATTCTAGTTAAAAGTCTCTTTTAAGCATGAATGCAGCCCTGGCCGGTTTGGCTCAGCGGTTAGAGTGTGAATGCAACTCATGAAATTGAATGTCAGTAACAGTCCCAGTGGAAACATCTGTTTGCATCCGTATTTTTAAAGAAATCTAATGTGCCTTCAGCTGTCTTGGACACAGATGCAGGACACAGAGACTTCCTGGCTTCTTTTTATGGAAACTGGATAGGTTTTAACTGAAAAAAAAAAAAAAATCAGAAATTGTTGCCCTTTTAGTGAGGGACAGAATACCTGAGCTTAGGATTAGATTCAAAAGCTCTGCTTAGAAGCTCCTCACCGAGTGGGAGAGACATTCCAGAACCCTAAGCCTGGTTGCTCACACAGCTGGTGGCTGGGTGTCCTTTTGATAAAGGCATCACTCAGATCGACTGTGTGAACTTGGAACCACTACTTTCTAGTGGGTGCTAATCTGACACCTGCATTTCACAGTCTACGGAAAGAGGGGTTGCTGTGGAAATAATTATATAAATATTATTACAAGGAGGGAGATGTTTATCTGCTAAGAAGGTATACTCAGTCCTCCTGGTGGTACACATTTTCATATAAACTAATAGGGTGCTAAATACAATTATGTTTCATTTTCTTTGAAACAGGACTTTGAGAACCTTTTGGAAATTCTCTGATAAGTAAACATTATTGTGGGCATTTGAATGTAATAAAACCTGTTTCCTTAACTATATCCTATTAATTAAGACTTCCTACTAATTCAGATAGGCCTCCTCCCCAAATGAGTCTACCTTCGTGAGCTGTTATATTTGCTTCCATTAGAAACAAAACTAGAAAATAGGTTGTTTATTCATCAAGTGTTTATTGAGTTTTTACTCAGGACAAGGTATTGTGGTAGGTGTTTGAGGGAGGCAAAATGAAGACCCTGAGGTGTCTACAACCTGGTGTGGGAGAGTCAAAAGCACACTGCCCCCCAGAGGTGCTGTTCCCCACGTGTCTCCCACATGGAGACGCTGACTCGCGTGGGCACGTATCCTGTACTGGGCAGCCTGGTTGGTATTTTCCCTGATCCCTAATTCTGCTTTCCAACCATCACTCCTCATCAGGTGGGCTGGGCTGGGTCCTTTCCACTAAGGCTTCCTTGTCGCGCTGTCATCTTGGATAACTTCACTGTCCACATGGAAGGTCCGTCTGACCCCAGCCATGTAGCATCCAGACCCCATCCGCAGTGACGGTCTCCTCTGCCGTGTTCCAGCCTCCCCCTGAGCTCACCTAGGCATTCTCGTCGCTGCCACCATCTGTGCTCCAGCTCCCTACTCCCGACCGCCCTCTCCTCGGCACCTCCTGGCCAGCCCCGTTGGTATTTGCAGTTCCTGGTCTCCAAAGACGTTTTCAACTCTGTGAGCCTTTTTCTGGCTTCACTTCCTTCCCAGATTTGGGTGGGAATGGGGAGCGAGGGAAGTTGAGGTCATTCATTCCAGGTGGCATCTTCACCAAGTTTCAAGTGCTTTGTGTCCCTGTCCTTCTGCCCGATCTGTCCGGCGAGATTCTCACTCAAGACCATCCCTACCATTCAGTGTCTCCGCTCCCAAGGAGGAGCTGCAAGGTGCGTGGGAGAAAGCAGCCTGCCCCTTGCCCTGCACAATTGCCAACTCCACAGTCCTGCTTGGTGTCCTCCCGTCCTCAGTCTGCTGCTTTCCTACTTCTGTTCTTCTCAGAGGCAGTCCCAGACTCCCCCACACTCTCCATTCCCCTCACCATAAGTTCAGGGAGGACTCAGGAGTGGTGACTCCAGCCTCTAACCACTTCCCCATAACCTGCCCCTGTCTTCTCTTCTTCTGGGGTCAGAGGAAGAAGTTCCTCTGAGGGCAACCCCTCCATTTCTATCCTGACCCCTCACCTCACGGTTTCCCTGCGATGGTTCCTTTAATGGTCTCCTTTTTCCTGGATCCTGTCTTCCCCAAGCATTGCTGCCTGCCTCAGCCTGTAAACATGCTCAGTCCTTCCTCTCTTCCCCCACTGAACCCAGTTTCTTTGAGCGTGTCATCTGTGGCCACCCCCACCACTCCTCGATGACCTTCCGTGGACACTTTCCAAACCTTCCTTCCTGTCCCTTCTGCACTGAGACTAGGGGTCCTCCCAATCAGCACTCGCTGGCCCTTACAGGCCCCCTCCCGGATCTCCGGATTCTGGCCCATCTGGGCTCCTTCCTGGACTCCTGCTCCGTCCTCTCCATTCAACCACTGGGCTCTCTGGCTCTGTGCTCGGCCCCGCGCTCTGTTGTCTCGACATTCTCCCTGGTCAACATTTCTTTCTCTCCTTTTAACTACCACTGTATGTTTGTGCCTCTCAAACTAGTGTCAGCCTGGACCCTTCCCTGAACTGTAGGCTTCTTTCTGTACAGAAATATCTGGTAGCCACTTCCACCTGGGTGCTCCACAGACACCCAAGCTCGGCAGGTTCCAAACCAAGCTGCGTACATCTGCTCCCCTCCCACAAACCTCCCCTTTCTTCTGTAGTCGCCAGGTCAGGTGATTGAGTATAAATGCCCATTCTAGACTCAGTTCCGGTCACCCCTCCATCTTCACTAACACGGCCCTAACTCAGATGGCTGCAGTGGCTTCCTCCAAGGGACCCTGCCCTCACAGCCCAGATCCCCTCCTCGACGGCCACTCCTCTCCCCCTGCACCACTGGATTCTTTACATTTGTGGGGGGCGGTTCTCTTCTTTCAAATTATTTCCTTAGGATAACTTTCTAGGAGTAAGATTTCCAACCCAAAGGTAGAACAGTTTTATGCCTCTCATTACATATTACCATCTTATTTCCCAAAAGGGTTTTGCTAGCGTATGCCAACAGTGATATTTGAATGTGCCTCGTCCCCACAGTTTTATCAGTGTTAAGTATTAGCTTTTTGACATTATTCTTCTAATTTAGTAGGTATATAATGTGTTTTGCAATTTGGGGGCTTACACATTGAACATATTTCCTAATGTTCTCTGCTAAATACACTTTGTGCGTTATCTACGGAGACTTTTGTCGCTGCTCTTTTATTTGAGTGAGTGATTTGTATGGGGTAGATGTTGAACCTTCTCAGTCACATTTAGTGCAATTAGCTTTTCTCATTCTAATGAAATGTTTGTTTTCATTCAATAGAAATGTTACAGTTTTACACAGTAGTTCAATCTGTCAACATTTTCTTTTGTCGTTTCTTTTTCAAAGAAGCCTTTAAAACATGAAAATGACCATTGTTTTAAATACCAAGACAGCAAGCAGTGTGATGTGCGTGCACACTCGGCCTTGGCCTTGAGGGAGCAAGTAGAGACAGCTCGGGAGTGGCATGTGCAGCAGGAACGTCCACGCTGGCCTGAGTGAGCAGCACACTGTGTGGCTGCAGGAAGATAGCCAGTCTGGCCTCCCTTTCACCCCATCCTGTGCCCCATTGTTTCCTTTACGCATAATAGTAGCTCTTTCCTGGAAGCCAGCGGAATATTGCAAGAGGTTGACTCCATGTAGCATTGCAACTTCCCTTAAGACACAACTGCGTTCTGTTTATTGAGAGCTGATTGAGGTAGTAGGAATCGCCGTGAGAACATCATCGCTTTGTGTAATTTTTGCATTCGATTTTGACTTGATAACAAAAAAGTAAAATATTTTAATACAGTTGCTGAATTTTGTCATGGGGCCAGTGGATTCATTGGACGCATTTTTTTCTCTGTTCATAGGACATATGTATATACATGGACATGGAGCAAGTAGAAAAGGCACTTTCCATAAAAACTACTAAATATTTATAGCTGGTTTCATTTTGAAGCCCAGTACATTCTACACAGTCGGGGCCCTGCCAAGCTCCACCTTTACCAAAGGAAAGTAATATAGATATTGAAGATCTACTGCAGGACCGATGTCTTTTAGCAATATACTTTTTTTGTAGCTTGGGAAATATTTCTGTTTTGGATCTGCCTATTTTATGTATTAAAGCATTTAACAATATTTTGCATTTTCTTTTCAGTCTTCACAGAAAAGTACTGTACGGCTAATCATGTGGATAAACTTCCTGGCCCGAGAGACTGGGTACAGATTCTACAGGATCAAATTAAACTGGCCAGAAGAAGGTTAAAAAGAGGCTCAGGTATGAATAAGCTGCGAGAAAATAACTGCAGAAGCTTTTTATTGAATTCTGAGACAGCGCAAAGCACCCTCTTTACTCTCGGGTGCTCGTTGTCTCTGGTCTTTTGAAGGAGATGCGCTATTTACTGTGCTATGGTTTTGTATTTTGGAGTCTTATTCAAATGAATTTTGAAATTCACTTGAAGATTAAATAGTGAAAATATGTCAGGCCATTCACTTTGAATAGCACAAAGGGAAAAGACTGCCGACCTCATCCGGGGGCTTACGTGTCTTGTGGATGGAAATCAGTCTCTTCTGTGATTGGCTTCCATTGCTTATTGATCTTTGTTTGTTTGGATCTGTCTGACTTTATCAAACATATTTTTTGTTTAAGGGAAAAAGATAACAGTAATCATTCCACCTGAAACACTACATGAAATAGAAAGGGATTTCAAGTCAAATATTTATTTAAATTTTTTCTTTTTAAGTTTATCTGGGCTTTGTGATTCTGGGATTTCTTCCAGGAAAAGTGACTACTAGCTGAATTATGACTACTTAGTCATTTGAGGTCTGACCCTCCCCAAAATGACAGTGGGCCAGTTTAGCAGTGAAGAATCCCCTAGAGGTCAGTTTTCTGCCATCATGTGAAAATAATCATCTCCAGGAGGTCACAAACATGTGTGTGTGTGTGCGCGCATATTTTAATCCTCACCTGAAGATACTTTTCCCATTGATTTGTAGAGAGTGGAAGGAAGGGCGGGGGGGGAAGAGCGAGAAAGAAACATCAGTGTGGTAGAGACACATCAATGTGGTAGAGACACATCAATTGGTTGCCTCCCCCACACACCTCAACCAGGGCCAGGGATCAAACCTACAACCCAGGTACGTGCCCTTGACCAGAAATCGAACCAGAGACCCTTTGGTCCTTGGGCTGACACTCTAACTACTAACCCACACTGGCCAGAGCCATATATATAAATCTATATATTTAATCCTGATCAAACTTAGGATGCCTGGCCTTCCCAGAGACCTCTGTGCCTCTGGAGCTTGAGAGTCTGGGAGATGGACCTGGTGTGCTGAAATGTGACAGGCTTGGATGGCACGGGGGACCATGAGAACAGCACAGAAGCACGGGGCTGTGTCACTAACAGGCCCCTTTATGTATGTGAACACAGTGAGTAGCAGTCACTGTGGCAGAGCCTATGGAGGGGCACAGCTGATGGCCCGGGGAGAGCCCCTGGCACGGGCATCAACAAGAACAAGGTGCCGAGGGACCAAGTGGTTTTCAGTGTGAAAAGCCTTAAGCTCTGTTCTCTTAAAGTACCTACCAAGACTCTAAAATGTTCAGCTGTAGGGTCACCCATGTAGGCTCTACCTGAGCATCCTCTGACCTACTATGATAGAGTTATGTAAGTAATTCGCAAAGCTCTAGGTCCCAAGGCCATGTCCAAAAAAGATAATATTTAGCTGCAGATGATTTTTTAATTTATTTTTTATTGATTTTTCAGAGAGAGAGAGGAAGGAAAAGAGAGAGAAACATCGATGTGAGAGAAATATTGATCGGCTGCCTCCTACACGCCCCCTACTGGGGATCGAGCCCACAACCCGGGCATGTGCCCTGACCGGGAATCAAACCGGGACCTCTCAGTCCATGGGATGATGCTCAATCCTCTGAGCCACACCAGCCAGGCATGTAGATGATTTTTTAATTAAAAATCTTCCCATTATCTTTTTTAACCTTTTGCCTTCTTTTATATGTACAGTCAGCCCTTGTTGGTCGCAGTTAATCAGTTCCAGACTCTACTGCGATAAATTAATTTCCACAAAATAGGATTCTTTATATACAGTGGTCCCTCACCACTCGCACTTCGACTTTCATGGCTTCACTCTATCGCGGTTTTTTGTTTCTTTTTTTTTTTTGATCCTCACCCAAGGACATTTTTTTTGCATTTATCCCAGATAGAGCAGAAGAGGGAGAGGGAGGGAGGGAGGGGGAGAGAGAAACATCCATCTGAGAAGAGACACATGGAGTGGCTGCCACCCACACGACCCCAACTGGCCGGGGACAAACTGCAACCGAGGTACGTGCCCTTAGTGGGAACCAAACCTGGGACTCTTGGGTCCACAGGCTGATGCTTTAACCGCTGAGCCAAACTGGCCAGGGCTATCGTGGTTTTTTTCAAATTAGTATAGTATAGTGTAGTATAGTATAGTGTAGTATAGTGTAGTATAGTATAGTGTAGTATAGTGTAGTGTAGTGTAGTGTAGTGTAGTGTAGTGTAGTGTAGTGTAGTGTAGTATAGTATAGTGTAGTGTAGTATTTGAAAAAAACGCGATAGAGTGAAGCTGTGAAAGTCAGAGCGCGTAGTGACGAGGGACGACTATAATTGGTGCTCTTTCTACTAATAGACTACTAATATTTTTAATTGGTAATAGACTACTAATATTTTTAATTGGTAAAAAAGTATATTATTACATCAAGTAATAAGTCATAATGAAGTCAGAAGATCTGGTTTTTAGTCTGTCGTCTGTTCTTTACCAGCTCTGGGCCTCGGGCACATCACCCCTCTTTCTGACCCTCGGAGTCCCTCTCGTGAAGAAAACGTAAACTTAAAGCCTGTCTCATCACAGTGGTGTACTCCGACACGTGGTGTACACCAGTGTCATTATATAAGCTAGCGCGTCCCTCTGAGAAGTCTGTGTCGTGCAGCATGGAGTCCTGACCCCGTGGGCTCGTACCTAGGTGGGACCCCAGCCTGCTGTGCCTGGGCTGTCCTGCTCTCCCTGTTGTCCCAGCGTGGTTAGGAATGCCCTTCACTCCAAGGTTCTCCAGCTTGGATCAGTGATCTGGTCGTCCTCCCGGGTCTCTCAGCGTTCACCGCCTTCTTCATTACAACTCATCGCAAACAAACGCAGCGTGGTGTGGTGGAAAGGACAGGTCTGATCCCTAGCTGGAGCTGCCATTTACAGATTCCTGGGACTTTTGGACAAATTATTCAACCTCCAGAATGCAAAGCTTTGCATTCTTCCTTTGTATAACGAGGCTAACAGCTACTGCTCAGGGGTGTTGTCGGAGTCAGGAGCAGGCAGTGTGTTGCCTCTGACAGAGCTGACATACGCTGATGCTCAGGAGACGTTCCTGGCCTCATCCTCCCTTTGCCAACCAGAAGCAAAACCTTTTATCCTTGCCATTTCATAAGCCACCACCTCCTCTTTCTCCTAACGTTGGTCAGGAATCTTCCAAAAGGGTGTGCATCCCTGGGTGGGCTCCTTCACCCCAGTTCACTGCAGAATCTGTTCCACTTTGCCCTCTGACCTCACTCCTCTGCCTGAGCTCTTGCTGCACTCACGTCCCAGTGATCAGGTCTCTTGTCGAAGTACACTGACCCTCCGACTTGACCTCCGTGTTGATTTTGACTCTGTCAAATCTTATCCTTCTTGAACCCCTCTTCTGTGGGGTTCTATGACTTCATTCTCGTCTCCTCCAAATGCTCTGGCACTGCCTTCTGTCTCCTTCGCCACCCCTCTCTCCTGGGTTTCCTAAACCCAGCATTCCCAAGTTTCTGTCCTCGGTACTGTTCTCGTTCTAAATCCTCAGTCCTGACTGAACTGCCCCATCGTCACTGGCCCTGAGGAGGCCATGGCTGGAGACCCAGACTTCATTCTCTGTGCCTCAGCTAAAGAAATCTGGTCTTGCCCGCCCCAACCAAATACTTCTGCTGGCTTCCTGTCACCCCACAGCGTGAACTCCTTTCTAAGTTCATCCCCCACTGCCCCTGCCCCTGTGGCCGCGAGGCTCCTCAGTCAGCCCCGCCCCACCAGCCTCACCTCCGGTTCACTCTCCCTGTCCTGAAAGATGCTAGGTTTTCGAATTCATGCTTTCCCTCTGCCTGGAAACGGCGCCTCCTCCTGTCAAAGCATCAAGGTTCTTCCTCCTGGAGCACAGGCAGTTGTGGTGCCTTAGTCTTTGGCCACCGGAGCAATCACCCACCTGTTTGCTCCAGGGACCAGGAGAGCCGCAGGAGCTGAGATGGCATCTGAGTCATGTGTCTGTCCCGAGTGTCTGGAGCAGTGTGTGGTGCGGCGTGGAACCGATGAATGAACCAGCGAGTCCGTCGGTGGGGAAGAGGGGCAGTAGTCCACAACAAAAAGGCCTCATTGTTAGGCTCACCTAGGTCATGTGAGATCCTGGAGAATGTCCGTACATCAGTTCCTTCCTTGAGGTTCAAATACTTGTCCCAGAACCCACAGGGCAGCAACGTCCCTGAGCTCTGTCCTGAGGAACAGGGTCCTTAGGGCTCCTTGTGGCTCCTTAGGGTGTGCCTGTGGCCACACCATGGGCGTCCCAGCGGGCCCTTTCCTCCTCCTCCTCAAGCCCTTTCTCCTGTTTCCTTCTGCACACTCCCATCTTCGTGGCTCCCCCCCAATTTTCTCTCTCCCCCCCCCAATTTTCTCTCTCCCCCTTCCTTCCCCAAAGGTCGAGTCTTATGTCAGTCGCCTGAGCGCACTTGGGAGGTCAACTGGGCAGCTCCGCAGAGTGTGCTCCTGCCAGCAGCGTCCCTTCTCATGCTGAAGGTCTCCCACCTCAGCCTTGGCTCACCTCACAAAAGCCCCTCGTATTACTTTAGCCATTTAGATTTCAGGCTCCAGAAAGGGATTGGGGTGGGGAAAAAATGTTTTACAGTGAGTGATGGGCATTACCAAAGACGCTGCCCAGTCATTTTACACAGTAAGCGACACCTAAGCACTGGTTCCGTGTTGGGGGCTGTGTCTCCGGTGTTATATCCCAAATCGCATTTCAAGTGTGGAGCCTGAGTGGTGTGCTTGCTAGTATTGAGTTGGTCTTGTGTTGTCTGAATTCTGCCAGTCTTGACTATAGCTATGGCGTAAGAACTTCCATTTGTCTAATGTTCTGCAGGGGAAAATTGTTGACCCCCCTCCCCAAAGAAAATGACGCTAAATATAATATTCAGGGTGGGGAGAGAGCTCAGGTTTGTCACAGTAAAGAGACCTAAGGAAAGGCAAAGGGCCAGAGGAGCAAGAACCAGCGACTCTTTGGTTCTCCACACCGCCCCAGCCGTGCCCCCAACTTCTAGCCTGAGCGAGGCCAGGCGTTCCTCCACTCGGAACCCATGAGCATGCCGGCTCCTCCCGCTGCACAGGGGCTGGTAGGAGTAAATGGAAAACGTGAGAAATACCCGGAGCTCCTAGAGAGCTTGAGGGAAAAGAACTGTAAATCCAGAGTGCTGATGTTACTAATCCAGGTGCGGCAGAGACAACCCAGGGAAAGGAAGGAGGGAGAGGGCTTTGTGTTGCAGAACACGTGCCCCTACCTGGAGATGACTGCCAGTCCCTATAGGACCTGAAATGTGGGAGACAAAAAGTGGGGAGGCTGTGGGGTGCCTACTGAGTGTATTAGGGGGGGCCTCTTCTCAAAGACACAGAACCGGCCTTCCTGGTGGTAGGCCTGTGACTGAAATAGGAAGTTTGGTTTAAATTCTGCTTCCCCCTTACTGTATATTTTTTACATAAACATGCCCCCCCCCCTTTTTTCTTTTATTTCAGATGCTAAGATCAATGATTATGAATTCTGGTCTCCATTCCCTTCCCAGCTTCCCCCCAGCAGACACATGCACAGCGTGGAGACTTCCTCCCACATTCCTGCTCCCCATCTCCACCCCCAGACTGGCCCGTGGACACATTTCCTAACCACTCAGTATTCGTGTTAGTAAATCACACAGCCCAGCTCATTTCCACACACATGCCTACTTCTACAGACTGGCTCCCAAACTGTAAACCGCTCCCACCCCTCCCCTCAGGGGAGCCCCTCATGTGCTCAGGACACTGTGTGCCCTGCCCCGTGGTTCTCGTCATGTTTGATTTTGGACATTTTCACTTTCACCAGTGGATGTAGATTATCCTCCTAGATGTTTGGGGTCAGCACCTCACCACTCTTCTGCCTCTCTGGAAGGTTCTGTTAGCATCTGAAAAGTGGAAGGTGCTGCCCTGGCTGAGTGGCTCAGTTGGTTGGAGTGTTGTCCCAGTCACCAAAAGGTTTTGGGTTCAATTCCTAGTCAGGGCACATACCCAGGTTTTAGGTTCAATCAACAGTCGGGTACCATTGATGTTTCTCTCTCACATCAATGTCTCTCTCCCTTTCCTTCCCCCACCTCTCACTCTCTAAAATCAATTTTTTTTTTTAATCCTCACCCGAGGACATTTTTCCCTTTTTTTGTTCAGGTAGAGTGGGAGGGAGGGAGATGAAGAGAGAGAGAGAGAGAGAGAGAGAGAAATCGATGTGAAAGGGACACATCGAGTGGCTGCCACCCGCACAACCAACCAGGGCCGGGGACAAACTGCAACCGAGGTACACACCCTTAGCGGGAACCGAACCCTGGTCTCTCTGGACCTCAGGCCGACGCTCTAACCGCTGAGCCAAACTGGCCAGGGCTCTAAAATCAATTATAAAAAAACAGAAACTTATCCTGGAGTGAGGATTTTTTAAAAAAATAAAAAGTGCCTACAGAATCAACCCTGACACACGGACCAGACTGTATAGGTTCTGTTTCCCAATTCTTTCACATCCTGTTACCCTTCGCCTCAAGCCCCCCAAAAGTGGGGCCCAGCTAACTGAAGCGGGAGCCCCTGTGTTGCCGTTGTCACGCTGACAGGGACTGCGAGGCCTCTCAGGGATACTGCTCACTCTCCGGCTTTTTGTCCTGATTATTTCCTTCTAAATGGTAATCCAAACAGTGCCTCGTAGGTACTCCACAACTTGAACCTTGTTTATCATATTTGGCTCAATTCCTGGAATTAGATGGATAAATACTCCACCTGGGCAAGCTAATCAGCTCACTGTTTAAGAAAGCTCGAACTGCCTCTTGGAAAAGCGCCCCATGCAGATCAGAAAGGTTGTTCTCTGAATCCAAACAGAAATTCATCTGGGGCTCTCATTTCATGTCATAATTTTTTTTCTATTACTGGAATGACTCCTTTCCTGGTGTGGATTCTTATCATTTTCATTACATTATTTTCTCAGAGCTGAAATCACAATTGTGTGTGTGTGTGTGTGAGATCTAAGGGTAAAGCTGTCACTGCTATTCAATTTTTATTGGACTTGCTCAGTCTTTTCCAAATTTCACAATTTGACTGCCACCGGGGAAGGAAGATGGGGAGCTCCTTGTTACAGTCCCATGTTATAATGAAAGTTAAGGAACACAGTCATGTCTTCCTCCATGACCCTGGGCCCTGTTCATGCAGCTGGCACATACCAACTTACATGCATTTTTGTTTATGTATGTTCTGTTCTTACTAAAGCACTGATTTTTGTTATAACTAAATGAAAAGCAGTTGTACATGGAAAGGGGAGAAAGTTACTGAAGTAGAAAATTAACTAAAACTTGAAGATTTAAAAATTAGCTCAAAATGATACATACATGTGATATGTGTTTGGACAATTAACAGCAGAGATTAGGAGCCCAGGCATAAACCTGAGTCAAATCCTTGGCAGTGTCACTTACTAGCTATATCACCTTAGGCAGATTTCTCAACCTCTCTGCCTCGGTTTCCCCATTGTTAAAATGGCCATAATAACAGACCTGCCTTGTGGGGTTTTCTAAGGGTTGGATAATATAAAGCATGTAAAGTGCTCAGTAAATGGAAAGCATCTAATAAATGGTGGTGGCTAGCATTGCTATTATTATTATTGCTGGAGGATTTTTTAAATCCTAGACAATGAAAGAATTACTATGTAGTCCATCTACCAATTCAAATCCACTTAAACCAGTTGGAAGAGAATAATGTCTTCTAAATATAAAAACAACATGTTTGTTATTTTTTAAATATACAGAATACTTTTAAAAGCACAAAGAACAAAATTTTAAATACCCAAACTGTTAATATTTAATTTGTCCTGTATTTTGTCTATAAGTCTATATACAAAATTTTATTCTTTCCGTTTGTCTTATTGCTTGACTTAAATGTTTTTATTGTTTTAATGTTTAAATGTTTTATTCATCTACAATATAATTTTTAGTAGCTTCTGCTCTTTTCCAACCAAAATTGGCCTCGACTATCCTGTGTCTTCTCTGTGTTTTCTCTCTGTGGTGGATTGGACAGGTCAGCTGACTGGCTCTGTCACCGAGTCGATGTGTAGCAATCTAGCAATCTGAGGACAAAATGTAAGAGAGGGACTAGACTGGAACTCTCTGAACCCTGCTTGTGTTTAAAGCAACACCAGTAAAAACAAGAGCACAGGATAGTTTGCTTTCCACCAGCTGAGCATTACAAAGTGATGCAAATGCAGCCCTCATCTGGCTGCCTCACCTGACCCAGGCAGGGCTGGGAGGAAGGTGGCTGCAGGCAGGAAGCGTCCCCCTGGGCCACGAGCCCTGGGACAAGGGAGCACCACTGAAATCATGCACATGGCCGTAATGAAACGTTTTGACTTGTCCTGTAGTATGTTGGGGAGACAAATAAGCCCATCAGGTCTCAGGAGACCTATGGGCACCTGCTTTTATGTATTTAGTGGAAGGTTTGCTATGACCGAAGGCTCTACCTTTGGAAAACTCTTAAGGAGATTGAAACATATCAGAGATGAGCAAAGGTTTGCATTTTAAAACATAAGAAATGCTCTTTTAAAGAAATGCTTATTCCTTCTGGTTTTCTTTATGATTGGATTGATGCCAACTTAGATGGGCAGCTCCCAGATCTGAATTTCAGCCATCTCCAAAGAAAGATTCATTCTCAAAATTTCCTAAGGCTGCCTCACAGACATGGTTCTGGAGATGACAAGCAAAATTCTACCACAGGAATTCAATGATCATATGTAAACAGTTCACACCAATTTCTGGGTCGATGTATGAGCCTATGTAAATAAAAGAAATTCACTGAAATCATCAATGATTGATAGAATAAGTTTGATAAGATAAAAAATTAATACAGGAAAATTGATTTTATATTATCTTTAAAATGTTTTCTTTAAATACTGGTGCTAAAATCTGTAATGTGAACCGACTGGAGCTGAAAAGGTGAAAACGGTTATGTATACTGGAGATTCTAAATTGTGCGACTGTATTCGGTGAAATGGATGTGCTCCCTGAAACTAATGAGATTTGTGTTTTATGTTTGTAACCAGCAGAGGTAGCTGACAGTGATGAAAGACTGGACAGCGTCTCTCTACCCCCAACAGGTAAAACCTATTTACATTCTCATCACCCGCTGGAAAACACAGCACAGGAAAATATTTGCATTGAAAATGTTTTTAACATTAGAGATGCAGATGCTGGAGCAAAATCTTCTGTAACAGACCCAGACTCTAGTAATCAGAGATGCTCAATTCCCTATGTTCAGACATTTTCCATGTTGAATGTGAAAAGCTACATTTTTCTCACCCTGTTTCATAGTCCTAAAAACCTCAGAACAGCAAATCCTAAGAATTTAGTGTCACAAGATTTTGCTTCCCAAAACCTTTGGACATTAACATGATATGACATTTCTTTTAAAAACAGGAATCACCAATTTTATGATGAAATTCATGTCCATTCTGTCCTCTCCCACCTGCCCCAAAGGGCTGTGAGAGGCAGTCAGTCATCGCTGTTCACACAGTGGGCACCCAGTGAATGTTGTGTTTTAACTGAGTGATTGAGTAAGTCAGTCCATCTGGCATGGGTGGCACATTACCAATGTTACAACCAGATCTCCCAAACACAACATTCCATTGAAGTGTCTGCTACAGTATTTAGCCATAGACATAATTCTGACTTCACATTATTGAACTCTCAAGTGATATGCCTCTGACCCTGGCCTCCTGCCTCTGCATCGGTTTGTACCTGAGAGCCGGAGGGGTAGGTGTCTGATCACTGAGCCATGTGACAAACAGTTCATTCCCTCAGTTGGCCTCAGGACTCTATTGGCTGCCTTCAAAAGAATACCTGAAGATTTTCTGTCCACAAAACCCAGATGCCCAAAAAACCCTCCAAGTGAAAAAGCTCAACTCAGTGTTTTCTCCTCTAGATTTGGGCTGTAAGTTTTAAGTGGAAATCAGCAAATATGAATGGAGCCCCGAGTCTCCGTAGGCACTCTACTAGGTCATGTGTTCATTGACAGCACTTACCCTGGGATGGCGACCGAAGCAGAGTGCACGGGTGTAGGACAGACATACCTTAGTGAACTCCAAAGCAACGAGAAAGCTCAGACATGTCAATGGTACAGTGCTCTCTGTCACTGAGTAGCTAAGCAACAGAGCAATGGACAAATAAAAAAGGGCCCTGCTAATATCAAGCTTTACTATTACAGTCATTGTATAAAAGGGATTTCTGTTCTTGTTTGGCTATGTTTCCACATTTATGACTCAAGAGAATTGAAATGCATGATCTCTACTGTTCCTTCCCATTCTGTCCTCTGAATATCAGGACAACTCATATGCTTATTACCCCTGGCCATTCCCAGTCGACTCCTGAAATGCAATTAGTAGTAGTGAAATTGTGCCGTTCAGGAGGCCCCGTGGAGGGATGCTGTGCTGCTCTGGTCGTGCTGTCCAGGGTCCCCCCTCCAGCCCGCTGCCCAGGGCATTTCCACTGCTGTCCTCACTGTTGCCTCACACAGTGGGCTTTTAAAATGTATTATTACTTGAAAATCATTCCCCTTTGCATTTTCCTATCTAAAGATGGAGGCAGAGAGATGTTTCAAATGAGAAAACTGAACACAGGATGGTAGAACAACCTCGTAGAACGGAAAAGAATTTCAAGGAATCTGAGAACGAAGGAACATTAGAGAACATTTAGTCCCATACCTTCTTTTTATCCAGTCATTTTATTTTACAGGTAAAAAAGCCTGAGGCCCAGAAACTAAATGACTTTCTCAAGGTCTCACAGCTGGTTGGTGGCCTAGCCAGAGCCCAGGCCTCTCGACTGCCGGTCATTACACCGCATAACTTTCTTATACCTAAGCCAAAGCCAGCTTTCTCTGCATGTTTCTTAAAGATCCCAAGAGTTGGTGGATGTACTGAACCCTGTAGGATTCCATCTCAGTGTCTCACAGTCTCTGCAATTAGAATGTCCGTCGTGAGTCCCCGAGTCCACTGCAATTTCGAACTCGTGGAATTCTTTCTGGAACATTGCCCAACGCTGTGACGTCATAACGCAGATAGGACTAGGACGGCCCTGCACGTCTTTTCACTAGATTCTTGGTAGATATTTGACACAAATCACTAAACACCACGATAAATAATTCTGTCTATCACTTAGAAAAGGGGGAAAGAATTCCCAGTTTTGGTGCCCAAAATTTGCAGTAATGAAATTAAATAATCTTGATTGAAGTAGCCAGTGTCTTGAATGCTGCCAGAGTAAAAGGCCAGTCTGGCGGTTTCTCTGAATACAAGGCTATGACTGACCCCTCCTTCCTGCACCCCAAGGAGCGTAGCCGAGGGGTGAACTTCGCCTTTCTTGTACGGGAGCTTCTTCCTGGGATTTGAGACTCACTGGCCAAACCTTCTTTCTTGTGTTTATCTGAGCTGGCAACAGTTGGTCCGTTTTAAAGATTTAACAAAGCTTTTATTAACTTTAAATGTTTTTTTTTTCCCCTTCCAAATTCATGTATATTGAGCGGGGGGTGTGAATCTATGAACCAGAATCAAGCATGTCAGGGTTCTAGTCTGGCAGTCAAATGACATTTGTTTCAATCCATTACATTTAAGCAACCTTCTGTGTCTAGTCTTAACAAAAATGGGTACAGATTTTATAGTGGGAAAACATTTTCTTTCTGGTCTGTGGGCCGACACTCAAACCGCTGAGCAAAACCGGCCAGGGCGGGAAAATATTTTCTTAATTTTGTTTCCCTCAACCCTGTCAGTGAGCATTTCTGAGCAGCTCCCAGGTATCAGTACTGTGTCAGGTTGTGGTGAAGAAACGGCCCTCAGAGAGCCCGGCCACTGTGACAAGCAGAAGCCAGGCGTGGAGAGAGCTCTGACGATGACAAAAACCATCGGGACTTGGGACAATCGGGGGAGCGGGGGAGAGTTTAGAGAAAATAAATCGTATAAGTGCCTTCTAAAATTTCAAAAGGAGGCTTCTGAATTTGAAATAGAGTAGGGCAGAGCTCATCTGGGCTTAGCAATCTTTGTCGTCCATTGGCATTCTTTTACATATGTTTTAAAAATTAATAAAGAAAAGTGTAAGGAAGAAAATGCAGATTAATTTTACCACCCAGAGATAATCACTATTGGGTGTTTTTCTCCCAGACTTTTCTCTGTTTGCTTTACCCAGAGATCAAACATATGAAATTGTGTTTCCTCAGTTGTTATTTTATCCTAACAAGCATTTTCAATTTTATTACAAATTTCCATACATATTATTTTAATTGCTGCATGATACTTTGTCTTACAGGTAAATCATATTTTATTTAGCCATTTCTGTTACTGAACACCATATGGACACACTCTAACAGTAATACACACTCAAGGGCTTTCTTGCAAAAGTAATCATTATAGATCTCTAATGGCTAAAATTGCTTATTTAGCACAACTAAAGCCTTGGTTAAAAATTAGCGATTTAAACATTAAACACAGACATCTCACCAACAATGTTCTTCATGTATCCAAACTACCTGTAGCCATGTCATAGGCAAGGGTACAACTCTGCTTCAGAGAAGGGCCCCCCTCATTTCTTGTCTCTGTTGTAGATAATATATTTGACACCAGGGGAGAAAACACGGCAGACACAGAGCCAGATCTCACTGCTTAGACTTCCCTTTAGGGACACTGTTCATTAGCACATGCACCTCTTCCCTCTGGATGTCCGCAAAGAGCCACGGTAGCATTTCAGTTACTGCAGACAGAGTGTGTGTTCTGTGACATGTCCCCGTCCTGTTTGAATAGGGTTCATGTACTATCACGTCATCTGTGATCAGCGAGCCTCCAATTTGGTATATACGCTTTTTAAAAATCATTCCTAGAGTTGATTTATCACCTGGAAGTCCAACGTCGGATCCAGTTAGTTCATTGTCCACTACAGACAAGCAGCGCTCTCGTCGCTGCCCCCCGCCCCCATAACTTCAGTGCGAATATATGGAGTTGTGAAGCATAGTTATTTTAACATGAACTGTTTAGATGCTATCTACAGGAGAATGGCACTTTCCAGTACTGAGGGAGCAGTTATTAAGGCCAAAATTAATTACACCTTCATCCACTTAAAAGAGGAAAAAGATGTTTTGGGAGACAGGATAGCCTTGATCTGTTAGATGAAATTGTTTGTGACACCAGTTCCCCCAAAATAACCACTTGTAACTGAATAAGGGCAAATGATATATGAATTCTTAGAAAAGAAAAGCCTTTGACGAGGTTGTGTCGACCCAGTGACAGCATAAGTCACCGAAAGGGAGAAACAGAGTGAGCAGCTGTGTGCGTGATGCCGCCCTCAGGTCGACAGCTGCTGGCGAGGTGCCGCGGCAGTGCCTGGCCACACGCGTTTCATTAATGTTACGTATTTTACTTGATTCCTAGTACGCTCACACTCCACTTCTTATAAATCCAGCGGGTGAAAATCTGGATTCATTTTAGAGTTATCATGCCATGTGGGCATTTGTTTTACAGAAATGTTTATGTCTGGATTCCTTTCTCTCATAAGATGATGAATTTAAAATACCATTTTATTTAGAAACACTGCATTTACACCTCATTTATTGCATAAAGCAAACTACCGTGAATCTTTGGCACTTGACCCAAAGGCCAAAACTTGGCTTGAAAGAAATGTGGGTTAGAAACACCAGGCCCCAGGGGGAATTTGCTGTGCTGCTGTGGAAGGCATTTCCCTAGCACTTACTGTGCCGAGTGCCAGCTCAGAGTTATGCAGGTCCCTTCGTCCCACCCCCTTCCTTGCAGGTGAGGCAGCTGAGGAGTGAGGGTCATGGTAGCCCGGGGCCAGGGAACCCCTCAGTGGCCTGGCCAGGCCTAGCACCTGAATGCCTTATTCCCCTGTCCAAGGTACTTGTGTCACATCACACTGAACAGCTAAGCCTGAGCAAGGAGGGGAGCCCTGGGATGAATCAGTTTTCCACTGAAGACCAGCTCATCAGCCAGCGGTGACAGGAAGCTAGTGCTAGGTGCGGCTGGTGGCATCCATCCAGCTGCTAGACAGCAACATCTCATGCATGTGTGTTTTTCACTTGTCTTCCTTTTGAAGCTCCCAGGAAGGTCAGAGTAGTTGTTCCCGTCACACCCCTGGTTGGTAGCCTTTTACAGTTGGGGCCCATTGGTAATCCCTCCCCTGAAACCAGTTCCTCTGCTCATCAAGTGTCTGGTGAAATACTGTGAACTAGGGCTTTTGTTTTTCTGCAACACACATTTTCAAACTGGTCTGCTGCCTCTCAGAAGGAAATATCTCTCAAGGTAATTGAAAAGATGAATTAGTGACCTTTCAACTCTGCCACAAGACGATGAATATGTTGCTAATAGAGGTAGAAGCGTCCACCTTCCCACTGCGGCATCTGTTAAATATCCACTGTGAACGGTCAAAGCACGTCCTTCCTAGACTGGGCGACAGCGTGGCGTGTCCACCGCACGAGGAGGGTGGGGGCTGTTCAACCCATGAGTATGTGCAATGGATCCCCAGATTGGAAATACATATCATAAAACTGCGAGAGTGAAATCATACTTTGTAAATGAAAATTGTTATTTGTGTTTACTTACTGTGACTACTGTTCAGACTTTATTCAGAAATCCTTTCTGTAGGCTTTCTTAGCAAAAACAAATTATTCCATATCTATGAGTAATGTCTCAATCTTCTGTATATATGTTTTATTAATATGTAAATATTTAGAATTTTTAAATTACTATGTTCTTTTAAAAAAAATTTCAACACAAGGCTAGTTGTGAACATGGTGTATGACGTTGTGTTGTGATATCAATTCCCAAGACGCTCTTTATGTCCATTCTGGAAGAACACAATAAATTACTTTAATTGAAAGTGCCTGTTCTGTGCCTGTGTGCCAGTTCTCGATTATGGAGAGGAGTCCATGCTAGCCATTAATTAAAAGGTATTTATTAATACTCTAGTGATCTTACCCAGGAAGTTTTATCTCCTTATGAGAGATAAATTTTTAATAATAAATAAACCAGATTGCTACCAGCAAGAGCACCTTCAAACGTAGAAAGTCACCGATCAATGGCTGTAGCAAGTCCCCCAATAACACTTAAGCATTAAGCACTGATATGCTTGAAGCCTAATTTTGCATGAATTAGGTAGCTTCATAATCTTCACTTAGAAGGTTAAGCCCTGCTTCTATGGAAACAACACATCAGAAGGACAAATCAATCTTCTCTAAGGCAGAGTGGCTGTTAAAACATAATTGCTTTATGCTCCTCTCTGAACACAGGAGGGCGCTACTCCTCCCTGGGTACCTGCCCCCTCCTACATCCCAAAGGCTTTCCTAGCCCCCAGCCTAGAGCACCCCCAGGTGGTCAGTTCTGTCGGGGGTTCTTCAGCGGCTCTCATTTCGGAGGGGCCGAGCTGTTTCACAGCCCCGGGGAGTGGTGGACATGGGCGGTGGAGAGGAACAGCTACCTAAGAGAGCAGCTGGATTCTGGAAGAAGAGGCAACAAGGTGACTTGCTTGCAAAAGTAGAATATCTAAACTACAGCCGACCTTTCACATACCTGCACCTGTTGGTGGGAGCCTGGCACCAGCCCACCCCTCCTGCAGCAGTGCCCCCCAGGCTTCATGTGGCCTTTGCACCATGAAATTATTTGTAAGGGGCCCACTTCACATTATTTGAACCAAGGCCCCTGGGATGCCCTTGCTCCCACACGCTGGTAAGGATCTGTGCTTTACATGTGGCCTGGCTGGCAGCCCGAAAGGGCTCTCAAATCCAGTGTGAGGGGACCCACTTCCACCACAGGAACCTCCACCCAAAGGGTGTTCTCATTGTAGAGGAACAGCTCATACACCTGCCTCCTTCATCTCCCCTCCTGCAGGCCCAGCCCTGTTCTTACCAGGGTTGGGATGCAAGAGGAAGCATGAGAGCCAGCCTTGGCTGGGGAAGGTTGACCTGGTCCCAACCACCCCAGGCCTTGTGGACCATTCTAAGAAGCTGGGAAGTCGTGGGGGATGCTGGAAACATCCTAAGAGTTTTGATCAGATTCACAGGCTATATTGCTCCATCTGACCAAAGTACAGAACATTAGTGGGAGAGGGGCAAGCTTAAGCAAGGAGCCCTGTTAAGAAGCTGTTGGAATAGCTAGGGATAGATCAAGAGGATCCAAGGGGACAAAATCCCAAAACCCAAGCAAAAGAGATCCCACAGGACTTGGTAACAGGCCATCTTAGGGTGGAGAGGGGGAGTCTAGCTTTAGAGAAGAGGAGGAAGTGTTGGAGCTGACACAGGTCTCTGCCTGGGGAACCATGAGGTTACTTGGCTAAGACTGGGAACACTGGGAGGAGTGATTTGGAGGATGACAACCGAGCTCAGGTTCAGACGTTATTCCGTTCATTCACTCAGCAGGTGCTTGCTGAACACTCGGGGTATTCATGGCCCAGTGCTAGGGGTGCAGCAGTCATGGAGCTCATTCTGATGACCACTCACCGCTGTGGCCCTGGGGAAGCACCAGGGCAGGGAACTTAAACTTGGTAGCTTTATCCAAAATTAGAGGTGATCAAGATCTGAAGCACTCTTCATTCTGTATAATTCACGTCTCAACTACATTTCGTCATCACAGAGGGATTTGTGTCTACCAGCTCACAAGTAACCACCTGTCTCCACCATCCAGTCATGG